TGAATAGGAAGGTGTAGTCTCGGGCATCGAACCATGACCCTAGCACCTGTTGCCGCCTCCACGGTTGTAACTCAATGTGGACCGACCTAACCTGCGATTGCACTGCACCCACACCGATATGACAATGATGATAATGATGATGATGATGATGATGACAACGATGATGGTTACGATGATGAAAATTATGACGATGCTTGCTATCGTACCGAGATCGTAAAACGTATTGCATAATAAATTTTAGTATTGTTTGTCCTTTAATTAAGAAAGAGAGAGAGAGAGAGAGAGAGAGAATCGTTAATGTCGAATGAATATAAAAATTGAGTTTCATTAAAAGGAAAATAATAATAAAAAAAAAAAAAAGAATTATCGAAAGATATTGTTAACAATATTATAAACGATTACAATTTTATATTTCGAGTTTATTCACACGATAAAATAATATTTTATTTATGAATTAACTCGATACAATATAATATAACATGATAATTATAATGGATATCTTGTATTTTTAATAATTAAATAATTTTTTCAATTTAAATATAACCATCCCCCCACCCATTGGTATTAACCCAAGATGGGATTTTAATGATTAAATTTCAAGAGTTCTTATCAATTATCTCCGTTAATTACTTTTGCTTTTCTATCGAAAGTTTTTAGTAATAAATGTATTTTTTACGATGTTTTGATTATCATATCGCATCAATAGACGATTGTTTATAACGAAAACGGTATAATACCATGAAGTGTACATTCTATTCTCGAGTAATCGAAGGAATGTCGTTCGTATCGAATAATTACACGATAATAAATCAATTAACTATGAATAACATAAATAATAACGTTTGTCGAGGACTCTGAATGATTTTAGTTATCAGATTAAATGAAAAAAGAATAAAATCAATTTTACTTTGGGAAAATATTGTTTCATCAGAAGCATCGCTGTTTGACCGCGACTTGGTGTTTCGCTTTGTAGATGCCATTTATCGAAGTCATTGAGCGTGAAGAACCGACAAGTGCAAGCGTAGGCTGACTATCGATAGATCGATCGGCAATATATTTATTATTGTCGTAATATTAATAGCTGCAAAGGGAAAACCGTCATATACATCGAAAAATGATAAGGAATGTATACGTGGTGGCGTACACACGCATAAAAACGCGTACGTGGAAAATTCATTTTAAATAAAAGACGAAAGAATCAATGAATAATTCGTATCATCCTGCGAATACATACACGAATCGTCGCATTTCATTCGATGAAATAACATTAACGATTCTTTTTATCAATAAACAATTCTTCGTGCGACGTTTATCTAAATATAAGAAAACACATTGAACGTAAAAATTAACGTAATCTTAATAACAAATTTAAACAACGTCAACGCGCAATATCACGCTGTAATTCATATTAATCGATTACCGATATATCGAATCGTTTAGTTAACTTCTAAAGAATATAGCTCGTTTAAAGGGCAAACAAGCATGTCTTTTTCGAAAGGAAAATTTATGACTTATTTAATCGAATAATTACCTACACACTTACGTCCATGCATATACAATATAAATACATGGATATATTCAAAATTCTCGGTACCTTCTTATCGTTTAGTTTGATCTTACCGTGGCACTAATCGTTCGCATAAATTATATGTCGCACGTTCCTCCGACTACCCTCTGATTCGTTTGTTTCCTTTGAGATAAAGTAATAGATAAAGATACATATATATATAAAGATATATATATATATATATATATATATATATACATGTATATATATATATATATATATACATGTATATATATATCGAAAGTATTGCCGTGTTTCGATTTCCTATCGTGTTACTTGTTCTTCGACGACAAGGTTTAACGAGTCGATCCGAATAACGTGCGAATCGAATATCGCTTCTTTAAACCACATTATAGGATAAAGAGAAAAGAAAATAAAAGAAAAATTAAAAAAAAAAAAAAAAAGACAAAGGAAAAAAGAAAAATAAAATAAAAAAGGAGAGAGAAAGAGAGAGAGAGAGAGAGAAGAATAAAAGAAAAGAAAAATTGTATAAGGAATAAAAGGAAAGGAAAGGAAAAGAAAAAAAGGAAAAAAAAAAAAGAAAAAGAAAATGAAAGAGAGCGAAACATCCTCTTGCAAGAACGGCAATTCGATATTCGACCATTGGTTTCCAGTTTCCGTTCTTCTTCAGCAACCCCCAACGAAGGACGAACAAGATTCCATCACGAACTAACGTTTCTCGATATCCGAGAACATTCTCTTCTCTCGGGTTGACCCTTATCTCGATGGTTAATTAATTCCCGAGAATACTTTATTGAGATTAATAAAATGTATTGTAATAATTAAAAATTACTATGAAAATAATGCGATTAGAGTTAGACAACATTTTTATAAAGTCTTGATCGATTATCGTAATAAAATTATATTATAATACTGAAATGAAAATAAATTTAGTGACAATATTTTCACACGTTTGAAATTATCAATTAATATTTGGTTAATTTATTATACCTCATAACATTTCGAATAATTTAAGTATATATATATATATATATAAATTTTATTTTAGCTAAGATAACATTCTACGTTATCTACATATAAACAAAAACTGCATATAAACAAAGAAATAATACAAATTGGAATTCAATGATTAATTCATTTTATCGATCTATTTAATCGAAGGTCGCTTAAAATTTTATCTTTTTCTTTTTTTTTTTTTTTTTCTGAACAAAAAAGAAAATAAAAGATTTACAAGTGCAATGAATTTTTAAGAGACTAGGACAACGATCGATAACTGAATGAACGAGTAACAGCATCGTCGTACTTGTGTAACATAACAAGAGAACTAAACGATATGAGATCCAGTCATAACCAAAAGCAAAAACCACGTGGATCAGCATCAGGAAAAAGATTAACAATGAATGCCTGCTAGATCAGATATCAGATGCAACGTGCAAGAATTAATATAAGAACGGCTAACAGGATAAAATTTTTATCGCTTTTCTATGTTATTTAAACAATCAATACTATCGTATAATCATTTAATCTAAATATCGTATAATCATTTAATCTAAAATAATTCGAGTATAAGTACATTAAAATGAATATAAAGATGTTATCGATCGTCCATTAAAAATAAAAATAAAAAAATAATACGCCATAAATATTTCTATGCCATTAAAAAACTAAATACTTTTGTTTACTCGTACGAATCTAAAATACGTTCTTCAAATAAGTGCATTAAAATACTATATATATATATATATATATATATATTATCAATATCACAACGTTATCGATCATCTTTAGGATTGTCTTGGTATTATCGCTTAATCCAATTCGCGAACATAATCGTTAAAATCTCACAAGAAAATGAAATTAAGCTATTTAATACTAAGCTTTGAACTCTGATTCATAATATTTTCAATGTAGATATTATATTACTTTATTTGCCAAAAGGAATTCTTTATTGTCTCTTCTCATTGTTGAGTCAGCCAGCGTGTTCAGTAAACCGCATGTGAGTGTATGTGTGTGTATGTGTGTGTGTGTGTGTGTAGAACTTACGTTTTATCGACCACATTCTACTCTTGAGAAAAATAAAAAATAAAAAAAATTCCAAACGTTTCTCAAGCGAAGGAAAAGAAAGATAAAATTAAAAGGAGAATAAGAAGAAAAAAAAAATATATATATATATATAAAGAAAAGAAAAGAAAAGAAAAGAAAAGAAAAGGAAAAAAAATTGAGGAAGTGAGTAGAAGGAATGAATTTATGGTCAGCTGGTTTGAAGTCAACTCAAATGTGAGTTCCTTCGTCCCTTCGTCCCAATGGACTCAACTCGGTCTCTCTGCCTCTCTGTCGCTGTCTCCCTTTTTCCTTCCATCCAACATGATTTATATTCCAGCGAGTCGTTGTGACGCAGTTAAGTCCTGCGAAGGTTCCCTTCGAGGTGACGTCATTCGCGTGCAAGCGAAAAAACATATAACGAAATACGATCGCGGACGCCCTACGCGAGCAGGAAATCGAACCGGTTCCTACGAATCGAGTTATTTTCGAGTTCGAAGAAGCTTCAAAATAAGGTACCAATAAGGTAGATGATGTCTCGAGCTATCGATTTCTATTATTTATTTATTTTTTTTTTTTTGTTTCGTTTTTTTTATTTTTTTATTATTTTGTTCTGTAGATATCTTCTACGATCTAGAATTCAATCTCTTTTATTTATTTATTTTTCTTTTTTCTTTTTTTTTCTTTTTTCTTTTCTTTTCTTTTTTCGACCATCGAACTATTTTTATCACATCTGCCAAATTGACATATATGTAGATCGATTTCGTAATACTAATAGTACAAGGATAATTTAATGCAATGTCATCTGTTTAATTTTAAAAATATCGCCCTATTTTTATCGCGATTGTCAAGTTGACAGATCAATATGATTCTAATGACCGTGCTATAATTTATAATTATTAAAAGTAAATCTTATAAATAAATTTCATTTCTGTCAATGTTGGAATTATTCGATTTCCTTTTTTTTTTTTTAATGTATTTTCTTTTTTTCACTCTATCATAAAAAAAAAAAAAAAAAAAAAATAAAAACTAAATGAATAAAAATAAAAAAAATAAAGGAAAAACGCATGAAAATAAAACTAACTTCAATGGATGCTACGAATGATATCTTACGCTTTCATAAAAGCACGCAATAGTTTAAACATCGAAAGTCAACCAGTAGTCGCCATTATTATGTCACAAACCAGTTCGTCAGTTGATTACATTTCTAAGTATAACTCCAATTACACAGAAATGCATTTGCCATGTTCACGTATGTAAGTGTATAAACGTATTATTATCTCTTTCTTTTCTCTAATGAAATTACTAATGAAAATATTCGTTGGATGTTAAAGATTAAAAAGGAAATAAAAAAAAAAAAAAGAAAGAGGAAAAAAAAAGAAAGAAAGAAAGAAAGAGAAAAAAAGAAGAAAGGAAATGTAATATAACTCACCAGCAATCCTCAAAACAGCCCTATCAGCAGGATCTAGTTGAAGGATGCTTAGCGGTTTATCCTTGGCCCATTCCTTCAAACTGCCATCCAGCTCGAACTCCATTTTTCTAAAATATGTCACAGAAAATATCCTTTACATAACATTCACCATACAATAATTCTTCCTTCATGAAAAATATGTTTACTCTCATAGTACGCATAGAGTTAAAATAATCAATAATTCTCTAATTCACGCGCGCACAGGCACGCGCGCGCGCAAACACACACACACACACACACAAACACACGTATATACGCGCACGCACGAACGAACACAAAAACATGAATACATTAGATATCACATGACTCGTCACGTGTATATTCAAAGTTTCAATCACGAGATAAAAAACTAATTAAAAAAAAAAAGAAAAAAAAGGAAAAAAAGAAGTTAAAAAAAAAAAAATAAAATAAATCCCTTTTAAAATGAATTCGTAGGAATAAAAAAAAAAATGCATAACTATTAAACATACTAATTATAATGAATTAATATAACTTTGATAAGTTATACGAACGATAGATAAGCTCTATGCCATGTCGTCGGCGCTTCTCTTCGTGCGAGGAAACGTGCACTGCCACGGCCACGACATCTACCTCTACCTCCTCCTCCTCCTTTTCCTCCTCTTTCTCCCTCCCACGAGTTTTACGGTTGGAAGAAGAGGGTGGAGGATGTAAAAGAGAAAAAGAAAATACGAGAGAGAGAGAGAGAAAGAGAAAAAGAGAGAGAAGAGGGGGAAGAGAGAGATCGAATGATAGAGAGAAGGGAGCAGGACGATAATGACGGCAGTAGTGGCAATGCCAAGCTAGAAACCCTCCTCCTCCTTCTCCTCCACCTCCACCATTTTCTTTCCTTCGATACTAAAGTGTTAGGCTAGGTTAGGTCGAAACCAGCTGTGCGAGCCGCATCGACGCCGCACGAACACTAGTATGCGTGTGTATGTGTGTGTGTGTGTGTGCGGTGCGATATAAGTGCGGTGCTATGGTAACTTTGATACCAAGCTTAGTTAAAGGGGAGAGGGATCGTGACATCCTGACTCTTCCCCTCTATTTACTATTATCTTTTTCTTCGACTATTCTAGACTCAAATATTTTACGTCGGTGTCCCTCAATGCGCATTACGACTTTAGTTTTTAGATTATATTTCTTTCTTTTTTCTTTTTCTCTTTCTTTTTTTTTTTTTTTTTTCGTTTTTGCTTCTATTTTTGTCGACCAAAAACTTTCGTAACAAAATACTAATGCAGTTAATGATTACGATGCAGCACGATCGATGTACAATTCTTTAATTTTTTTCTTCTTTTTTTTCACCTCTTCAAAATTTATTCGTTTTATTGAAGTAGAATTTTTTCTTCTTTTTTCTCTTTAAATTTGTTATTATTATCATGTTTTCTTTTTTATTCGACGTGAATAATATAAATAAAAAAAAAAAAAAGAAAATAAATGGAACAGAAATAAATGATATCGTTACCATTCAAGCATGAGAAAACGATTGAAGGAACGTTATCTTTGCTGGGGGAGAAGAAAGTTTGCCAATGACAGAAAATCGATTCGACGAGACAGAAAATTGAAATTTGTCGCCATCTACAATTTACTTAACTTTGTGTTTTTTCGATAATTTATGAAGAGTTTAAAGCTTGTTAAAAGTACCATCGTCATCGTCAACTTTTCTTCTCTATTAGCTTTTTCTATCGTTATAAAGATACAATGTCAATAGTAAATACTCTTCGTTATGTCAATTAATTGAATATGCTCTATTCGTGCATTTAACTTCTTCAATGAATTATTGATTTTTCTTATTATTTTTATTATCATCATAATTGTGTTTAAACACACACAAAAAAAAAAAAAAAAAAAAAAAGAAAAGTCTGAATGCACCTGAAGTTATTACGAAAAGATTAAATTTAAAGATGAATTTCAATCGTGATTTAAATGCATTACGAACGATTAAATTTAAAGATATATTTTATCATTCTTTTAAACCAAACATTGCTGCTGTTTAGAAATATACACTTAAACTGAAAATTTAAAAGATAATTTTTGTCAATAAAGTTCAGTTTAAAAGATTTTATATATATATACATATATATAAAAGAAGAACGATAAATCTAGTTATTTTCTTTTCTAGTATACGTCAACGCCCGCATGGTTGCAACTTTCTCGTCTATTCCCGATAACCGACATGCACGCACATTGCATCGCTCTAAATCCGTTGGTTACATTAGGTGCTCGTTTCGAATTAAATTCTTAAGATCCGTGATTTTTGTATTTTATGTATTCGGAACTATAACAAGGATCTATCGAGTGGAAAAATAAAAAAAAAGGATCGAGTCTCTCTCTCTCTCCATCTTCAATCGATTCTATCGTAGTAAAATAATACTAATTAGATAAAATTAATTAGAGATTACTGTTTTAAGTTTACACGAGTGCACAAAAATAAATTATTCTGATTTATTGACCGCACAATTTCTATCATCATCATCATTATAATTATTTTATTATATATGATCTATGATCTATTTTCTAATTCATTTATGACATAACAAATCGATGATTTCTATGACTTTTACTTAGATGACACATTCTCTATTACAACTGTTTGAATCATTCCCACTGACTAATCCATTCCTATTATTCATCTATATATATATATATATATAAAACTACGAGAATTTAGTTATTACGTAAGAAGAATAGAAAATAGAAAATTTCATTAACCTTCTATAAAATAATTATCGTTATTTTTTCATATGAAATATTATACAACGTAAAATTTCTACTTTCGTAAAAACGAAAATTTTTCGAATATAAATTATAAATTAATTTCATAACATATATATATATATATATATATATATATATATATATATATATATGCTAATAAGAATACAATGAACTTTGTGAGTTCAATGTAACATGGGATTACAAAAAGATTAACAAAAAGATCTATCCTCCCACTGAATTTCCAAACAAGCCAACGATGCACGAACGCCAACGCACAAATTTGACCGAGCTCTGCATTTCATCTCTCTGCATTTAATCGTACGCTGTAATAACAAATACTATTAAAAATAGTAATATCATAAGAATCTCTGTCAGCATATCTTCGATAAATATATAATAAGTTATGTATAATAAGAGATATTTATAAAATATCCATCCTTCAAATATCACTTTGTCTTTTAAATAATAATGACAATTGGACAAAAGGAACTGACAAATATTTTACACCCACGTTCGTTAAAATTGAATCAGAGTATTTTAGGAGTCGTCTGATTCTTATTAAAAAAAAAAAAAAAAAGATAAAAAAAGAAAAAAAAAAAGAATTAAAAAAAATAAAAAAAGAAAGAAAGAAAGTACGTAACTCTTCTGTTCGTTATTAGAAGTAATAGAGTGAAGAGAGAATATGTATATATATTAGATATATATATAACGTTGAGGTAAATGGTCGAGATTGTGAACGGAAGTCATTCACTGCAACGCAAAATATGAAAATCCTCATTCGGCCATTTTAAACGTGCCGACAGTCGTCAGTCAATGATATAAACGTTTCTACCGGTTATTAACCGCGACACTTTGTACGATATCAATTACAACGTTACATCGACATTTATATCCTCAACTTTAATACATCTATATACTTATATAACTATATGTATATATAGATATATTATGTATTTAAATAGGAAAAATTATGTCATCGAGATCGAACGACAAATTGAAAATGATATTAGACTTTCAATGTCGATGAGATATTTGACATTAATTTATGTAGATACGATTTTAGTTTCTCCTCTTTGAGACCATGAGAATTAACACAAAAACAAAATTGTATACAATTTTCGTACGTCCCTATGTAAATATCATCTATGTCTATTAATTTCAAATCTGTAAACATTAACAAACGACTGACTCATCTTTTTCTTCTTCTTTTTTTCTTTTTTTTTTTTTTTTTTTTTTTAGATTAGAACGAGATCAATCAAGATTATCTCAGATAAATATATTATTTCGTATAAAAATATTATTGATATATGATTCATAAATTTTTCTCAAAATGAAAAAAAAAAAAAAAAGAAAAAAGAATGAAATAAAATAAAATAAAAAGAATTATAAGATACACGATATCTCGTTCGATTTTGATTTGTATAAGTATCTAAGACATAAGTTCCTTGACTTTCACTTTCATGACTCACGTTTCAAATTCAATTTAACTCGAAAGGTAGTTTTCCGAAAGGAATCAGAATCATTTTTTTCTTACTTTTTTTTTTTTTTTTATAAACCCTTATACACGTAAGACGGACATCCGTTCTATTATATATTACGTTCCGCATGGATAAACTTCAATAAGCAAACTTCAATTCTATTTTTCCTTATCCCTTTTTTTTTCCTTTTTTTGTTTTACTTCACTTTCTTTATTTTCTGTTTCCTCCTTAAAGAACTTCCTACAACTAAAGAAATAAACGCAATGCAGTATTAAAAGAGAATTTACGATCCTACGACAAAATGTATGTTGTGTATATATATATATATATATATATATATATATATATATATATATATATATACGTTAAATGTGTGTATATATATCCTATGTGATCTATATTCTCTAGAGATGAGCAGCACGTGACTATTACGTACATACGTATATATATATATATATATGTATATCTACGATCGTGATGTGATATACAACGATTTTGGCTTAACTCATACATTTCTATTATATATATATATATATATAATATATATAAATATGTAGATACGTACGAGTAAGTATCGAACGTCTTATACAACATAGCTGCATTTTTATGGACACGATGCGATGCAATTCGTACGTACTGAATGTGCTGAATAACAATTAACGCACACTAACCGAATAACGGTCTGACTATGCAAAGAATTTACAAACGTTTCCTAATTCCTCTGGCGAGGAAAGAATTCGATTCTTTACGATCGTAAAAAAAAAAAAAAAAAAGATATATATATAATAAACTTAATTTTGTATGTTACTTATTGTTGTATCTAACAATGCGATGTCCTATTTATGATTAATAAATTCTATTAAAAAAAAAAATTCTCTTCAAAATGTTATACTGAAAGAACCCAATTCTCTTTTCTTTTTCCCCTACATAAAAATAATATACTTATTTTATAAGTAATCTATACTATAAGTAATCTACAAGTTTTAAATACTATACTAATACTACTTTACGTTAAATATAAAATTTGTGTATATGGTGTAATACTATAGTTTTATATATATATATATATATATATATATATATATATATATATACTTGCAATGCATTATATCAATCTAATATTTAAATAATGAGCTATCCTTATTTAATTATCCTAGGGTAAGTATAAAAAAAAAATACAAGAAAAAAATTCTTATACATAATAATGAATTTTCTAACAATAAAATAAAATAGAATAAAATTTATATAAAAAAAAAAAATATATATATATATATAAAGTTATTTATAAATTGTGTGCTTCCATTGTTCTATCCTTTTCCACTTGTTCGTTCAAAAGAAAATAAACAATGCCTCCGGCTTCATGAAAACAATTTCTTTCTCTCTCTTTTCCCACCACTCTCATTTTGTTATTTCTTTCTACATAAACAAAAACTACGTTTGACTTATTTGACTTTGTTAAGAAATTTTATCCTTCTCCTTCGCGTGTTTTTTATTTGTGCCCTCTCTCGCGTAGCCGGAAATTTCTTCGAATTTAGGCTGCTCGTTTCGGTCAGAATAACAAGCGAATGTAATAACCAATGGAAAAGGTAAGAAATAATGCTTTCCTCTCTCACTCTCATGTCTTTTTATAGAACAAAGACCATGGAAGCTCTCTCACCCCAATCACTATACCAAGAGAGTCCAACGACTTCCGGCGCCCTTTTCTCGTTTGTTTGAACTTCGTCTGTTCAACACCAAAGTATCCATTATACTTACTCAGTGGTTCTTTTAACACTTCTCGTTTCTACGAAATAATAATACACATAGGTTTGTATATAAAAAAAATATTCTATCCCGTAGCTGTAATAATAATGAATTAACAAAAAAAAAAAAAAAAAAAAAAAAAAAAAGAAAAAAAAAAAGAAGAAACAGAAAAACAACCCTATTTTTATCTTTAATAAATATCTTTCTAATATATATATGAGTATTTATCTACGATACAGTTATTGTGTTTTCTTTTTTGTTTTCTTTTTCTGTTTCTTCTTTTTTTTTCTATATAAAAATATCGAAACAAATATTCTACATGAAATAATAATAATTTATTGAATCCGAGAAATACTTAAAAAAAAAAAAAAAAAAAAGAAAAAAAAACCACTGAACAATTTCATTCATAAAATATTCCTTGGTTTCTTTCATAAACTTCAACACCTTCAAACTTGCAAATATTTATAATATTTTTCTGAATAATCAAACGCAGTGAATCTGCCCTCGGGGCTCTCCATCTTCTTCTTGCCCCTTATCTATCCTTGTTATTCGTCAAAATAATATAGAAGAAAAGAAAAATGGACAAAAAAGAAACAGTAAGAATAATAAAAAAGGGGAAAAAAAAAAGAAAAAAAAATAGGAAAATCTTTTTTCTTTGCAAACGGTCAATTAAAGTTCCACAATCGATCTCGCAATCTTAATGTTGCTACAAGCAACGCGTCTGGATAAAAGCCATTATCCATTTAAACAAGTTCGTGGGGTAATAATCAGCAATGTTCCTATGTATTTACGTGTACATGAGTAGTGCACGAAATGTCGACCGTCACGGTCACGAAACTTTCGTCTTTCGAAACTTTTCCTATTTTGCTATGTATGAAATCGTTAGTACAAATATACACACACTCTTTGACTTTATCTATCTCTATCTTCCTTTAATGATGATAGTCTTTATTGATTTCCTACATACCGAAAACTTTATTTTTCTTCTTACGTTACTTTGTAAATTCAAAAAGGTCAAGGCGTAAGCTATAATAACTGTACCAATCAATATTTTTTTGGCAATAAGATTCAAGGTATTTCCGAAATATTCCAACTATTCGTTCCAACGCCTTAACGATGACGGCATACAATTGATAGGATATAATTTCATCCGATATCAAATGTCTCTTAATATAATTTCATCCGAATTAAATGTATTTTATTTTTATCTTGGGGGAAAAATAGAAAAAAAAAAATTTTTTTATAACGACGAACAATGAACAATTGTCGATTTTTCAAACATCTATTCTTTTCTTTCTTCTTTTTTTAAAGTTAATAATTTTTACTACCGAGACAAAATACTGATATTTTAAGATTTCTAAAATAGTTAAATTTAAAGTTATACGAAAAGATATAAGTAAGGTGTGTCAACTATTAGCCAAGTTAAATATCTTAAATGGTTCGCGTATTAATAACTGCACGCTAAGTAGTAGTAGCACTAGTAGTTTAGTTGCTAGGCTCGAATCGTATTAAAACTAAAAGTCATTCGTCTTTTCTTGGCAATAAAAAATTAATCGTAATTTATTAATAAAATTTCGTTTTTCTCTTATCTAAAAAAAAAAAAAAAAGAAGAAAAAAACAGAAATGTATATACATATATATCCAATTAAAAAAAAATATATCAAATTGTTTGAAAAGAGAGAAAGAGAGAGAGAGAGAGAGAGAGAGAGAGAGAGAGAGAAAGAGAGAGAGAGAGAATAGTTCTAAATAAAAAAAGAAAAAAGAAAATAAATAAATAAATATTTACACGAAGTTGAGAAATAAAATGGCACGAGATCGAGGGAGGTTTCACTTCTAGAATCCTCAGGCATTATGTAAGAGCTGGAGATTAGGACAGAAGCAGACAAGTAGAACAGGGCCAAGTCGATGGTTTCTGGCAGACTGACCCATAGTCATAAACCTCTTTACGAGATATATATGATTTCATCAGATGCTTGTGTTTGTAAAATATCATTGCAAAACTTGTAAGCGCAACAAAATCCTTATTTATAAAATTATTCTGTCATCTAAAAAACAATTATATTAATTACATTGACGTAATTAATCGATATTAATTAATAAAAGAATATTCTAAAAATAAATTCTCTTACACCTAATAATCATTATTAAAAGTATATATATAGATTTCATAACATACCTATAAAACGTATTGAACTTATAAATTAATATGGCACGTGCCTTATCGTAAATAGTCGAAATATTTTTTTTGAAAAGCGCGCGCTTGCGACATAGTTTCCATACGAGTGGACTCGCCGGGACCGTTAAAAAAAAAAAAGAAAAAAAAAAAAGAAACAGGGTCGAGTACGTCCTACACGCTAGATATGTACATACACACACACGGTCCATATTCCAAATTCAGGTTAAAAAGTAGAAAAAAAATATATCACATGTGATATCCAAATAATAAATATAAATTATGAGTAATAAATATATGTATAAAAGAAAGAAAGAAAAACAAAAAAAATGCTCATAAGAATTCATTAAAAATAATATAGAGAAAGGAAAAAAAAAGAAATATGAATAATGTATATACATATATATATATATATATATATATATATATATATATAGAGAGAGAGAGAGAGAGAGAGATATCTATACGTACGAGAAAATGGCGTTGGCATCAAATTTCGTCTATTCTCATAACGGATTTTCGAGGAATTTTTGGAAAAGTAAAAAAAAAGAAAAGAAAAGATATTCCTGGGGAATTATTTTGGAGTTATATCGGAGAGAGAAACGAAGGAGAAACGTTTCGAGCGGGAATCTTTGCTCGAGTGAATCTTCTTTGAAGGAGAGAGGGAACGATGCTTCTCACCCTCGTAGGAGGCAACGGCCGGGAAGCGTGCGTGAGTAGGCGAGGAGGAAGGACGAAGGAACGTTTACTCCTAGTCGTCGTCGTCGTCGTCGTCGTCATCGTCGTCATCGTCATCGTCGTCATCCGTACAATGCAAAACATGGTCGCGTTCTTTGCGATCGCAGCGCCTCCTCAGCTCTCGTTTCAACTAAAAATCGCGAGTTTCCTCTCTTCGACGAGGAGAATATATGTAGTAGGAAAAAGCTTTGTTATGTTATCGTAAGAAAGAAAGAAAGAAAGAAAGAAAGAAAGAAAGAAAGAAAGAAAGAAAAAGAAACAGAAAGAGAGAGATAGATAGATAGATAGATATATAGATAGATAGAGAGAGAGAAAGAACTAGGGCTAGGTATTGAGATCAGAGGGGGAAAAAAGAGAGAGAGAGAGAGAGAGGGAGAGAGAGAGGGAGAGAGAGAGAGATAGGAAGAAACAAGATACTATCGGCCGGCATGTTCGATCGAACAGGGACGTAGACAGGTGTCACTCCTCCCCACCACAAAAGAAATATCAATTTAATAATTTTTATCTAAGCGATTTCAAATTTATGTGTATATATACGTGTATAGATATATACATATACATGTATATATACATATGTATGTATATATATATATGTGAGTAAAAATTCTAAACTTACGTTCGAACTCCTGTAAAGTGGTCGAAGATGCGCCGTTATTCGTCGCGCATCTCGCGGTCGGCGATGCCTCGTGCCGCGAAACGACGACGACGACGACGACGACGACGACGACGACGATGACGAGGATGTCTTATCTACGTAGAAGGGCATGGAGTCGTTCGGAACACCGTAGTTCTCGTCTTTGTTGTTAATATATTTCGTTACTTTCCTCTTCTACTTTTCCATTTCTTTCTCCTTTTCTTTTTTCTCTTTCTCCAGCAGATCCACTTAGTTTTTGTCGTTGTATCGTTTTTTCGGCAGCGGGGAGGGAGGAGAAGAAAAAAAAAATATATATATATATATAACCGAAACGAAATCGACGATGTCACGCTTGCATTATCATCCACAAGTTCCTCTTTTTACTCTTACATCGAACTTTCTCACTTGTTCGTCTTCCTCGTTGTGTTGTTGTCCCTCACTGAAAACTCACCAATATATATATATATATTTCCTATGTTTTTCTTTTCGATACATATATATACACACACACATACATACATATATATATTTTATATATATATATATATCTTCTTATTAATCACAATATCTTAGATCGATAAAAGCACACGATACAACGACGCTTAACCGTCGAAGACTAACCACGCGGCACTCATACACACCGAACTCTATTTCTCTTATCACTTATCACGGCGATCTTTGCGTCACGAATGCGACCCGGTGCCAGACGACGCGCCTAGCAGACGACATTTTGCTTTAACGCGGAAACGTACGAGACTGGACGAATACGCCCGAACCTGTCAACCCAACCGACGAGCGCGCCATCCCCACTCCTTACCTTTCCTCTCTTTCTCTCTCTCTCTCTCTCTCCCGGTACTTAAGCTAGCATGCTTTTGTCCTTCTCTGGATCGTATAATATATATATATATAGATGTATATATATATGTTCTTTCTTCCTTTTTTTTCTTTCTTTCTTACTTTCTTTTGTTATATAGACGAATTCTCCGATACTTCCTCGTTCCATCTTACCCAGGAGAAAATAATGAATGATCTTTCCAACTTATATTTATAATGAATTATATAAGTGATTTTAATCTGGTCGATATTGAGTTTGACCCCGTCTCGATATGCTCGTCTCTCACGCATATTTATTTTTTCTTTATATATATATATATATATATATATATATATATATATACATGCGTACGATCGAACATGTATTTTTCTTTTAATAAAATTTATTCATCGAAAAATAATATTCTTAGGTTGGAATTCTCAATGATTCGCCCCATTTTTGTTATATCATAGAAATAAAATAGAACAGTGGATAATGGATAAGGAGAGAAAGAGGAGACGATGATATTAAGAAAGGGGTCGATAGCGAGCTGCTTTTTTTTCGTTCTTTTTTGTTTCCGACTTTCTCACGTTAAGTCTCTCTTTTCTACTACTTCTTAAGATTGTCAATCGTTTCACATATTGATATTCTAAGGCGAACCGGTTTAAAAACTCATGATATTGGAATTTAGCGATATAACTGTTAATGGCGATAGTTTATTATATTAGATCGCTTGTCAAAGTCATTTCTAAATCATTCTATTACTCTGACTTTAGTTTTACAACGGGTTTTTTTTTAACCGTATGTTATAAACTCTTCTCGTTTACACGTTACACCATTAATTATCTCTCTGTTTCTATTACGAAAGAAATAAAAAAGAAAAAAAAAAAAAAAGAAATTAAAAGGAAAAAAAAAAAAAAAAGAAAAAATACAGATATGAGAAAGTATAGTTTTACGTAAACGAAGAGAACTCTTTTTAATATGAGCTCTATAATATGAGGTAAGTACAATCGACGAGTGTGTACGTAGATGCATCGCGTTGTTTTCATTAAGGTAAATGCACCTTTCGTATACGCCTAAAAGTCGACGCCACGAACATCGTTGTTTGTAATATTAGAATTTAGGACGACCGTTTGTCTTCATTCTCTCGATCCCACTCATCTTCTATATAATTCTATCTCTCTTTCTCTTTCTCTCTCTCATGAACCTACAATCCCCTATTGAAACATACTTTCCACGGCCTTAGTTCTATCATTATTTGAAATAATCCTATAAAAGAGATAAATTCAAAATCAATTATGTATAGGCCGTGTTTGTCCGCTAATGAAAAAATTTCCTGTTAACTAATTAAATATTCTTATTAGTTGACGTAATATTCTTATTAGTTGACGTACCTCTTAAAAATATAAAAATGATGAATAAACTTATAAATTTGAAAGAATAAATAAAATATATGTATATATTTGTTCTCTCTTGACAAGAAAATATTATGAATTAAAGGCTAAGATATGTTTGTTTGTTAGTTTTTTTTTCTTTTCTTTTCTTTCCTTTCCTTTCCTTCTTCCTTTCTTTCTTTCTCTTATTTTTTTTTTTTTTTTTTTTTTTTTAAATGCGAACCAGACTTCAGCAGCTAACATAAATCTTCTTTCCTAGTTTGGAACGAGGTCAATAGTCCAAGATAATTATCAAGCTGTAATACTATCTTCTCTGGAATATAACTCTAAGGTGAGACAGATCGTTTGCAAATGAATGTACGTGTCTCGAATAAAAATGAGATGGATGTGAGATCATTTCTATAATGGATGCCATTCGGTTTCTTTTTGCATAGAAAGAATTATAATAACAAGCATTGCTCCCTCTATGGCAATTGGTAACCTTCGAGACCACTTGCGTTGGTTGATGTCACCACTAAATAAAGGTGATGTCGTCGGTAAAAATCTGATACGTTTCCTACGTGTGTTGGACCCTGAGGGCACTGCCTCTCTCTAACGTGGACGCACAAATTCCAGACATGATATTCTATTAACGAGAAAGATTAAAATTGGTTGTCAACGATTACTATCTCTCGATCGAGAGATTAATGTTAAGAAGAGAGAAAGAGAGAGAGAGAGAGAGAGAGAGAAAATAAAAGAAAAAAAAAAGAAGAAAAGAAAAGAGGAAAAAAGTGCGCACATGAGAATTTAATTTTATTCAATGAACGATAATACTAACTCTATAAATGCCCTCTATACTTTCTTAGGCAATCACTGTAATTACGTTCATTGTAAGATAGTAAACCATTAGTTATTAGTTATTCATTTATTGTCGATTGCAAAAATGAAATCGTAATTGTACGATTCAAACGTGTCATATCAAACTGTATAAATTACCAATATGATCTGATAGAATCATTATGCTTAAGGCTTTTTCCATTATTGAATCGATTAATTAAATCATTTTATTAATACTCATGTAATATTGTTAAACCAATTCAATATTTTCTTGAGACGTTAGTTTTTCTTTTTCCTTTTGTAATTGAGTTATAACGTCGTCCTTTTGCTTAAGCAAACGTTTCAAACGTTGTACCTCTTGACGATATTCCGATTTCAATTGATTTGTTCCAACTTCGTGTATTCTAATATGCCTTTCCACCATTGCCAATTGATCCTTCGCGTCCTTTTGTACAGCCTACGATGAGTACAAATTTTAGAATTATTTATAATAACGATAATTAAAATTACACTTTATACTTACGTTCAATTGACTTTTAAGGTTTCCTACTCTATGAGCTATACTATCGCCTATGTATTGAATATCTGCATTTTCTTTCTCTCTTTCGTGTAACAAATTCATTAATTTTTCCTTCTCCGACATAACTTTTTCATATTCCGATACTAACTTTTCGCAATATGCAGTGGTTTTATTCAATTGTCTTTTAAATGAGTCACGTGAAATTTGTACAGAGTATACGACATTTTGCACGTTTGTTAATTTGTGCTGAGTACGTCTGAAAAAGATAAAATGAAAAATAAATATCTTTTAAATAAAATAATCCCAACAAGATTTATTTATGCTATATGTCATTTAATTTGTTTGTCTTTTTTCTTTTCTTTTTGATTACTTTAGATTGCGCTCTAACGTTCTCGTTAGATTTTTTAAATGATTTCGCTCCGCTGTTACCGTCACAAGTTGTTTCTCATTGTCTGGTAGAGACTCCTCCAATTGTTTGATACGCGTAGAAAGTTTTTTCTTCTCTGATTCGTATTGCGATTTCAATTCTTCGAACAATCTTTTGCATTCATCTACTGCTGCAACATGCACGTGTACCGGCATTGTTTTATCGCTATTATTTTTCAACATTTCATACCCTTCATTTACTATTTTATATTTTCCTTGAAGATTACTTAATTCTGTTTTATAAGTTATTACTTCTTTATGTAGACTTTTATTTTCTTGAGTCAAAGATTCTATCTTCCTTTCATACAAGGATTGTAATTCTTGAAGTTTTTGTTTGTGATTAACAACTTGCTGCGTAACTTTATCATTTTGTTCCTTGATCAATGTGGCATCATTTGAAATTTCTTTTATCTCTTCCTCATACCTATTACACTATAGAGTTTTCATTGAAATAAACATTAATGAATGAATATTTTTATTTTTATAATACCTTTGATTTAGAATTTTCCAATTCCTTTTGTAAATATTCATTTTCCGATATAATTTCCTTACATCTGCCAGTAAAATCATTGAGTTCACGTTCATACTTGCTTATCAATTCTTTCTTTTCTATTATATTCTCTTGATATGCGTTTAAAAGAGGACCCAAAACATGTAAATCTACATTACCCCAAGATTCTAACATCTTCTTATTTTCTTTAGACAGTTCTGCATCGTTCATCGTACCAGTACTATATTGCAATGGTATAATTTGTCCACATGATCTCAGTTTATCCTGATACCTTTCTAATTCTACATTTAATTGATAAATTACTTTTTTAAGAAGCACAATATCTTCCTTCAATTGTATATTATCAGATTTTAATTTTTGATTAAGATTTAATAAACTATCTTTTGTTTTTTCTAATTGTTGATAAACCTGAGTCGATTCTTCATGATGAACATGCAATTGTCTATATTCCGTTTCTTTTTGCTTCAAAAGAACATTCAATTCTTCGCACTCCTGTTGTACACGCTCATATTCCTGCGCTAATTTATGATACTTATCGCGTATTTTAAATATTAATTTATCTTTATCCTTTTGTTCCTCCCTATCATCTGAAACATCAAGATTATCTTATCTTAGATAGATTATAAAAGTTAAAATTTATCAATCATTTTGAAACTACCTGTAATCGCATTGAAATCTTCTAATTTCATCATTAACATATGATTCTCTTCCATCAGTCTTTCAATCTCTTTACGAAGATGACGTCTACTCTTACTTTTTGGAGAACTTATTTTATCATCGCTCTTATCATTAAAAGACATATCATCCAATTTAAATTTCCCTTTATTAGAATGACGCATTTTATTAGCTTTTCTACGACAATATGTTAATCCATGAACCGGTTCGATCTCATTGGTAGTTTTTACTTTCTCCTTGCCGTGCTATAATAATAATAATAATAATAATAATAATAATAATAATAATAATAATAATAATAAAATAATAATAGATAAATAAATAAGCATTGTTTCTATAAACTATTACAACTTTTATTTTATGCTTTTTATCAATTAAAGAGTATTATAATTCTTAAACTCAATTTATATTCTAACCTTTATTTATATTCTAACCTCTATTTATATTCTAACCTCTCTCTTAGATTAAACATATTACCTTAATAATACCATGCTTTTCCATGGTATCCTCTTTATCATCAGATATAGTACCACAAAAATAAGACATTATCAATATGTTTTACATAATAAAAATGAAAATTAATGCTAAATGATTCCCAAATAAGTTGCAAAAGTATATCATTCATTTTATAATCCAAGCTATCCAAAATACTTTGTTCACACCTTGAATCACTTCTGTTTTAAGACAAATCCGGATATTAGGTTTATTATTGTAAGCAACTACCATGGCAACGTTGATAAATTCAGTATTCATGGTCAACATAATTCAACCATTAAAAAAGCATACCTTTATCTTAGAGGGAGCCACTTGAGAAACTGTTTACGAAGCCAAATACATTTATTTTGCTATCTGTTCATAAATATATATAAATATAAATATAATTTCTATGAATATTATCAACTTATTAGATCGTCGATATATCGAAATTATACAATAAATATAAAAAGGAAATATTTTTCTATATATATATATATATATACATTGATTCACGTAGTATATGTCAGAATAATGCAGCGGGAAATTCAATAAGAGAGCAAGACCTAAACTTTGAATGAAAAAACACATTAAATGCATGGATTACATACAAGAAAAAAAAAACATTAAAAAAACAATGGAACTAACTTTATGTATAAAGCTAAAAATTTTAATTGTTTAACGATTTATTTGTCAGTAAATTATAGGAAAGTTAAATAGTGTTATTATGAATACGTAAAAAAATGCAAGTAAGAAAAATTAAAATATTTCACGTATTTTGTAATTATTTTCAACTTGATAATATAGTACACATACGTTGTAAATAACGAATTTCCTTCCGATAATTTAGTAGGAAAAATAATTATAAATTCTTTTTAAAAAAATATGAATACATGAATATATATATTACAATGTAGAAAATTTAAAATGCGAAGGAACGAAAGAACAGTTGACTTTTTAATTTATTAACGAGAAGAAAAAGTTTTCCCTTAATTCTTATTTATGAGAGTAAGAAGCCGGCATTCGTTGCGACTTCTTTTAGACAAAAGTAATTTCAATATGACGTTGAATTTATTGCAAGCCCAATTATTGGCTTAAATCACGTCAGTAAATTAGAATTTACCTTTTACATTATGAGCACGTATGTAGGCTTCGTAAGCATTCCTTTTTGACAAGGAACAAATTTGTATGCAATAGTTCGATCCTCTAGATACGCCTTCGTTTTGAAAAACAGCAATCATAATCGATTCAGGAAATATTTAACTTCGCTGCTCATGCATTATTGGTATTATCTTTGAAGAAAAAAAATAAGAACAAAAATACAAATAAAAAAAATTAAAAAAAAAAAAGAAGGAAAAGGAAAAAAATGTAAAAATGTAAATCCATTGTTTATGTTTAGATTGAACCATACTTTTTGTTTAAAACTTTTTCTTTATAACGAATGCTCGTTACATTAATAATTAACGGAATATCTTTTTTTTTTGTTCTTGTTTTTAGAATTAAATTGTTTGGCCTTACTTTCCAAGCTTCGTTAAAAATGTAATTAAATTGTTCCGACGAAAATGAGTACTTCCAAGTCCTTCGACGCGTCGTCGTCTACTTCTATGAAATAGAAATATCGTTGAATACATAAAAAAAAATAAAAAAATAAAAAAATAAAGAAAAAGTAAAAAAAGCAAACGAAAGAAGTCTTATCATTTGCCAATACCAACTTTTCAAATTTACAGTTAATCTACTCTTTAGATTTGAATTGTCCTCCACGTAATACAATACAAACGATTACAAAATACTTAAATTTATATTCTATTTGTAAAAGAACCAATATTAGCTGACTTAAAAAGAATTATTAATTCAAGGATATTCACGATTTATTATCTAACAATTAAAAGTCCGTTTATTCGTAAATATTAATTTGATTATCATAAAATTGACAAATAAAAATTATCAAAGCTTTGGTTGTTTTCAAATAAAAAAAAAAAAAAATCACAAATATTAATTGTGATAATAGTTATGGCAATGATCTGATTTTTAGTTTTATCTCTCTTTCTTTCTCTTCTCTCTTTCAAATAAAAGAAAATAATAACAAAGATAAAAACGTTCACGGAGTAGATACGGACCATCGACCTTATAAATGTAAATAAAAATTGATAATATGATAATAAGATGCTATTAGTGTCAGTTCTTGGTTAAAAAAAATATAATACACACGATGAAAATGGATTAGCGTGTACGTGTGTGTATGTGTGTGTGTATGTGTGTGTGTATGTGTGTGTGGGCGTGAAAAAAGAAATTGATAAATATATACACAACTGTGCGAAAGACATTTGTCCCTGCCACGATAAATCCACGTTTATTCACAAGACCGGGTTGTTACTATGATAACGAAAAAAAGAGCGATAGCACTGTTGACGAAATTATCGTTTTTAGTGAAACGATTATTTCCCGTTAGAATATAAAAAACAACGAAACGCGAAAGAACATTGCAGATATCGTTCCGGTGTGTAAAGATTCATTCAAAGAGCCCGGGGTCTCTTTTTTCTTCCTTGGACCGCCATGAAGCTAGGTAGTACCTTCGAAATCTAAATTTTCGCATAATTTTTTATTTCCTCATTCATACGACTTTCGCTTTTTCTTCCTTCATTTATTTCATTATTTTTATTCTTTCTTTCTTTTCTTTCTTCTTTCGTTTCTCTTTTTTTCTCTTTTTTAAGCAAACGCTTTACTTACAGGCGATTTTATTCCATTGCTATGTATGCTATTTGGAATCGTGGAATCGGAAGACACCGTTGATTCCGATTGTAATTTTTATCAAGATTTAGAACCAAACATTAATTATTACGTATATAATCCTGATTATCCAGATTATTATATAGGCGAACATACTTGTCGATGGATAGCTTCGAGTAATACACGAGTTAAATTGAATTGCTCAGTTTTCGATATTCCACCGGTAAGATATTATTTTATTAATTAAAAAGTTGAATATGAAAGAAACGACGATTTATTGAACTTTCCTAAAAAAAAAAAAAAAAAAAAAAAAGAAACATCATAATCAAACAAATCTTAATAAATAAATTTTGTCGTCGATAGTCTGCGAATTGTTCGATGGATTATATAAAAGTCGATGTCGGCGATGGTATCCAGTACAAATTTTGTGGATTGAATTCTTTCGTAGTCGAATCGATATCATCGAAAATGACTATAACATTTCATTCGAGATATAATACTTATGGTGGTAAATTTCGATGTGATCTCAGAGCAGTCGAAGATCAATGTAGATGCGGTTGGAAGAATCCGGTAGGTAAAGGAAGAATAAAGAAAAATTCGAATATGATCTATCCAATGATCTATAATAAGTTTAATAATGTTCTATCAATGTTATTATTTCATATGTTGCTCCTTTACAGTCTAGAATCGTAGGTGGTGTTGAAACAGGAGTAAACGAATATCCTATGATGGCTGGTATTGTAAATTTTGACACATATCTTTTATTTTGCGGTGCAACTATAATAAGTCCGAAATATGTAGTATCGGCAGCTCATTGCATTAAAAAATACGATCCATCTAATTTAGGAATCATTGTTGGAGAACATAACGTAACGACAGGTCCGTTAAAAAAACGATAATGAAAATATTCCAATAAGAAAATAATTTCTATTGAAAAGATATTTCTATTGAAATTTCGTCATATCTTTTATTTTATTTAATAATTAGGTAACGAAACAAATGTAACTCGACTTCATTTGGTTGACAAAATAATCATACATCCGAAATATCAGGGAAAAAAAAATGATATAGCGATTATTAAATCACAATCGAAATTTGAATATTCCATGAAAGTTGGTCCTGCATGTCTTCCGTTTTATTACATGCAAAGAAATTTTACCAGTCAGATTGTTACAGCTTTAGGTTGGTATTTTCCCTTTATACCATACATATATTCATTTGATATATGTCAAATTTTATAAAATAATTTTTATAGGTTGGGGTACAACGAGTTTTGGTGGTCCCAAGTCTGACGTTCTGATGAAAGTCGATTTGCATGTCATATCAACGAAGCAATGTACTAAGAAATTTCCCGATGTTACGAATAATCAACTTTGTACGTTTGATAAGGGAAAGGATGCTTGTCAGGTATAAATTTGATCGATCTTCATCGTTTATTAGATAAGAAAATAGAAAGAAAATTAAAATAAAATAAAATAATCCTTATATATTTTGATCGTACAGTTCGACAGTGGCGGTCCAATTTTATGGCAAAATCCAAGGAGCAATCGTGTTTTCGATCTTGGAGTAATCAGTTATGGTTCAACCTGTGCCGATAATAGTCCCGGTGTTAACACGAGAATCTCCAATTATTTAGATTTTATTATAAAATCGACACCTGGTAAGATTTTCTAATTCTTATTCGATAACAACGGGAATAACGGGACAACGCCCAAATAATATCCTTCAATATTATCCTCTTCATTATTTCATTTTTAATCTTTTCATCTACCAATTTTAATTTCTAATTCGATAAAAATATATATATATATATATCTTATCGATCTACTTTGTCATAGAATTTACGAGTTCGTTGAATTATATAATTCATTGATTCGAACATATTAATTTAATTATTAACGTCGCGTTGCACCACGTAACTTCATATCAATGCATATAAAACTCGTTGAATAAATATAATTTTATATTAAAGAAAAAAATTTATAAATACGTATTTTATCGAGTGTAACATTCCAATGGTCTACGATATATTATTTAATCATTGACAAGTATTAACATCTGTCTTGTCAAAAGTGTGCCTAAGAGAATGATCACTATATTTACAGCTGTGCTTTTTTTTCGCAGGAGAAACATACTGTCAGGTGTATTAAAGAAGACACGGAACGCACATGGATGTGTATACATATATATATATTTTTTTTTTTTGTATATATATATATATATATATATATATATAGACAAAATGGAATTAAAATATGTATTTTTGATTGAGGCATCAAATAAATTTTCTTAACAAAGAATTTGAAATGGGTGTTTAGCGATGTCGTTCGTGACGATCGAGGTCACGACCCTGATCTGCTTTGCGCTCGATATTCTCGATCATGCGTTTAAGGCTCCGAGGAGCAATAGGGTCCGATGGAAACTGCGTGGCGCGATTTAACTCTTACTGTAACATAAGTGTGAATTGAACGCGTTAACGACCGGATATTTGAAAATATTAACTTACGTGTAAGCGTTTCACATATGAAATTAAGAGATTTTCATTTTTTAAGAAATTCAAAAAAAAAAATGATCGTAAAATCGAGAAATATCTAGATCTTACGTTCGATCAATGATC